ATAGAATGGTGTAGCCGAAAGAAAAAATAAACACATCCTTGAAGTATCCTGCTCACTATGTTTATCACAAATGTTTCTAAATTCCTTTGGGGAGAGGCTATTCTCACTGCTACATATTTGATCAACAGGATGCTCTCCCGTATTCTTAAGTTTAAAACACCTTATGATTCTCTTGTTCAAGCATTCCCAACATCACACATTTTTCACACAATTCCTTTTAAAGTCTTTGGCTGCTCTGCCTATGTTCACATTCACAGTCATCTTAGAAGGAAACTAGATCCTAGAGCCCTCAAATGTGCTTTTGTCGGGTATTCCGCTTCTCAGAAATGTTACAAATATTTTTGTCCAGTAACCCGCCGGTTCTATAACACTATGGATGTCACGTTCTTTGAAAATCAATACCCTTATCCCACTTTTGATATTTAGGGGAGAGACATCTAGAAGTCAGAAATATCAATTGTGGGATGTGAATATACCTCCACTACAGAACATACCTCCACTACAGAAAATACCTCTACTACAGATTCCATTGACAACTTCAGAAAAAGAATCTGTCCCTAAAACTACCAAAGAACCCGAACCCACCACATAAACGGATAGCATATTACCTGCAGTTAGTAAGTTACGTGTCTATACAAAAAAAAACAAAACTCAAAGTAAAGATAAAGTACTGGAGCCAACTATACACTGTCATGACTCAACTCCTGGACCAAGCACCCAGAATAATACAGGTAATGAGATCTCTGATTCAACTGTTGATATTGGTTTACTTATCGCTTTACGAAAAGGTGTTTCTTCTTGTATAATGCATCCCATATAAGATTATGTCTCTTGTGAAAAGCTATCTTCAAAGTATCACGCACTTGTGAGTAAGTTTGACAGTATCCCTCTTGAACCAAGAATAATTCATGAAGCTCTCAAGATCCCTGAATGGAATACTGCTATCCAAGAAGAAATTACAGCCCTTGAGAAAAATGGGACATGGGAGTTATCTGATCTACTTTCAAAGAAAACTCTTGTAGGATGCAAGTGGATTTTCACCACTAAGTACACTCTTAATAGTAGTGTAAGTCGCTACAAAACTCGACTTGCTAAAGGGTTTACTCAATCTTATGGAATCGACTATCAAGAGACATTTGCTCATGTAGCCAAGCACAACACAATTCGGGTATTATTCTCTTTAGCCTCTAATCTTGATTGACTTCTCTTCCAACTTGATGTGAAAAATGCTTTCCTTAATGGTGATCTAGAGGAAGAAGTGTATACGGAAGTTCCACCTGGACTCAAAATGAATCCTCAAAAGATATGCAAACTAAAAAAGGCACGATATGGTCTCAAATAGTCTCCAAGGGTGTGGTTTGAATGATTCATCAGAGCAATGAAACATATGAGATATGAACAGTGTCAATCCGATCACACTCTATTTGTCAAGCATTGTATTGCAGAAAAGAGAGCTATATTAATTCTTTATATGTATGGTATTATCCTAACAGGTGATTATAGTGAAAAAATTCAGAAATTGAAAGACTTTCTAGTTAGAGAATTTGAAATCAAAGACATTGGGATACTCAAATAGTTCATTGGAATAAAAATTGTCAGATCCAAGAAGGGAATTTCTATATCTCAGCGGAAGTACATCTTAAATCTCCTGAATGAGACATGTATGTTTGGTTATAAACCTGCAGAGACTCCTATGGAAAGAAATGCTAAATTTAGTTGCAAAAGTGACTGTAAACCTATTGATAAAGAGAGGCATCAAAGATTTGTAGGCAAACTTATCTACTTGGCTCAAACAAGACCTGACATCTATTTTGCTGTTAGTACTGTGAGTCAGTTCATATCTCAACCTACTAAAGAACACATGAGTGCTGTCTATCGTGTTCTGAGATACCTAAAGATGACAGCTGAATAGGGATTATTCTTTTAAAAGACTATGGTAAGAGATATTGAAATCTATACTGATGTTGATTGGGCTGGATCTGTAACAGATAGGAGATCAACATCTGGTTATTGCTCATATATTTGAGGTAATTTAGTCACTTGGCGTAGCAAAAAATAATCTGTTATATCAAGAAGCAGTGCTGAAGCTGAATTACGATCACTTGCACATAAAATATGTGAAGAAGTATAGCTTGAAAAGATTTTACTTGAATTAAGATTTTCTGCTCCCACTGCAATGAGAATTTAGTGTGACAATCAATCAACTATTAATATGTCCAAAAATCATGTGCACCATGATAGAACTAAACACGTTGAGATTGATCGTCACTTCATCAGAAAAAAAATTGAAAGTCAAAATATGTCACTCCTATACATCTCGACAAATCAACAAACAGTAGACATACTCACAAAGCACTACCAAAAAAGGAGTTCAATAATTTTGTATCTAATCTAGGATTACTTAACATCTTTGTAATGTAGATTGAGGGAGAGTGTAGAATATACATATGTAGGAAATGTATATATATACATGTATACTTACACTAGGGGCAACTTAATCTTTTATCAAGTTGTTAGGATAGTTGATATTGTTAGGACAGTTGGGTATTTCTCTCCACCATTTTTAACTATTTTGTTAACAATTTTTGTCATGGTCGATGGCCTATGCAATGACACATTTATGCCCATGTAATCACAAGAAAAATCAGAGGAATTCTCCTCTTCTCACAAACCTTCTTTCTTTATTTTCTTCAGATAAAATGTATAAATAATAAGAAAAATGAATATTTTGTTTGAAGTGATATGAGATGAAACTATAACTCATTATGAAAAAGTAAATGATGAGAATACTAAATTATTTATATAGTAAAAATATATGTTTTTAAGATCTATCTATTGGAATAAGACCTTCCATAGGTTTGATGATGATAAATTATTATTTTGGACAAATCAAATTTATGTAGTTATTATGGATAACATAGGATTAAATTAAATAAGTCATGAAATTAGTTAAAAATAGTTATTCTTAAGAACTATGTTTATGTACCATAATATATGTGGTATATTTTCAATTGACGTATTCTGAATTCATAAGTTGATTGATTCTATAAGATATTTTCAAAGAGAATTTTGTTTATCCAAATTTGAGTTAATTTATCCTTTGAAATGTATTAAGATTATGCATATGATGCGCTCATAGTTTATATTTCTGTAAGATATTAATATCTTAGAAGCTCTTGTATAATTCCCATTATTCAACTAAGCTATTGCATTAGTTTATGTTTATATTAGTTTTATATTTTTAAATTTTTTCTAAATAGGTTATCATGACAAACAATTACTTTTAAATCTGGTAAAACTATGTATATACACATGACTCTATTACATATTTACAATTTTGTTGTGGTAAAGTGCCAGTCAATATGGTATCTGTGTGCAATAAGCAATTTTTTTTTTTTTTTTTTTTTTTTTAATGCATATTTTTATTTTTATTTATAAATTAGTACTTAAGTTACTTTTGAAAAAATAGAGAAAAACCACCCACCTTCATAAGTTGAATCCCTTCTCCTATCTTCTTTGTTGGTATATTCTCCAAAAATTGCAAATGAAAATACAAATTTAGAAAATACTGGTATTTACTTAAAAACCAATTATATATAAGGAATCAAACCAAAATGCTAAAACAATAGACAAAGAGATGTAAATTGAAATAATATCCCCAACTTACACTAGAGGACACTCTACCTATAGACTTACATCTTCAATCTTCTTTTTTTTTTTTTTTCCATATGTATTCATGTAATCTCCAAGTAATACATCCTTTCATTCCTCCTTTTTCACCAACATCTAGAGCTCTTAAGCTTCTATTGCTTTAACTTATTGTAAATGTTCTTTCAAAAGTTCACTTCAACCAATGTCAATATAAATTAAGTATTTGTCATTTCATCAAATCAATATAAATATTCCAACAACGCTTACAGATAAATTGGTTAAATTGAAGATATACATACCTAGACATAGACGTTATAGGGAGAACAAGACAAATATAATTATAGTATATAAGACTTGCATTTTAGAGCAATAGTATATTAAGCTGCAAGTTTTGAAAGACTTGTGAGATAAAAGGTTAATATGATACCTAGTAAGTGCAGAAGAGCAAAGATGATTATGCTAGAATAGTTGGAATGTTCAATAAACCTCATTATATTAGATTGGGTGATGCATAAGAGTTGAGATTTAGTGACCTAGAGTCTATAGTTGCAGCTGGGGTCCTCAAGGAGAATATCAATGGGGAGGAAAAATATGTTTTCAAATTTTTATATGCATGTTTTAATAATTTAAAGAGATTAGAAGGGTGGATGTGGATCTGGGATGGCTATTGATGGGTGCTTCCCAAAAAAAAAAAAAATGAAAAATGTGTCAACTTTAATCCACGACTGGAAGAGGTGGGAAGGAGAAGTTGTTAAAGCTCTGGGTTCTTACCTGAAGTTGAGGGCGAGGAATAAAGAGATGAAAGAATAAGAGAAAGGGGCTTTATGGATTTTAGCCTTAATATTCAACATCCATTTGGGGATGCAGCTGTTGGAAGAAGAAGACTCACCTAAAGCTCTAGGGTTCTCATGTGATGGAGGAGGGAAGGAAGGAAACAGGGTAAAAAGGGGGGATGTAAGGGATTTTGGGCAATATGACATTCACATGGGTGCTACGTCCGCAACCATTTTACAACAACATGACATGTGAGCATCTCATTAGTCACATATGAACAATTTTCACAGTTTTGAAATGATTATTTGTTATGAATCTTAATCAAGAGAATTTAAAAGTATAGATTCAATCACACAAATTAATATATAAGCTTTTTTGAGAAAAAAAATTAAATTTTAGAGGGAATTCGGTAGTATTTTAGAATTTGTTTTATTATACATGATTAGACTCTATAAAATAGTAAAATTTTATATTTGGTGGGAACAAAAAGAAAAAGAAAAGGAAGTTGTAACAAGTACTATAGATAACACTAAACTTTGGTAATATGAAAGAGAGATGGTTATGCAAGAGGGATATAACAGAAATTGGCCGTGTCATTTGTAGATTAAAGAATACAATATATTACCAGGAGAGGTTGGATCTCCACTGACCCCAAACTTAATCTTGATCATAAATAGATCACTTAAGTTCTAGTCAAAGATGACATTATATTAAAAACTAACTCAGTAAATCAAATTACAACTACAAAATTGATGACAGTTGGCGATTTTCTTGGCTAACGGCTCACTTCCTATTATTTTTTTACTAGAACCTCCATGAACAAGTTATGTTCAGTGTCCTTCATCTAGTGAAAAAATGAGGTAAAGGAGATGAGAAATAAAAAAGAAAAGAGAAAACTAACCTGCCCCTTGTTTTACAACTCCCCATAAACAAAAGGGAAACTGGAGAGGGCCTTAGCTCCTTTAGCACCATTTCTTCGGTCAAATCCTTGTATGGCTACGATAATTTATTGTACGCACTTCCTGTGCTCTATGCATTCAGAGTTTAACCAGGTGATATACTTTCCATTTCCAGCGTATCCAAATGACCATGTAAAAGAGATTTGGTCGTTTTGTAGAGACAAGAATCCAACTCATATCCCTGTGACTTCATTCTTCTTAGAATATTATAGGCATGCTCCCTTTTATCATTGGAATAAATAAGGGATTTAAGTAAGTAGTTACAAACTCTAGGCATCAACTTAAAACCATTTTCCAGTGTGTAAAGGAAAATATCCACCGCCTGATCCAGATTTCCTTTTTTACAGAGACCATGAATCAACTTCACACAACTTGGAGGAGTGACAATTGCCTTATATTCCTCCAGCATATAAAATATCTTCATAGCCTCTTCTACTTTCCCAGTCTGGCAGAATCCAATGAGGCAAATGGTATAAAATGCTAGACCAAATTCATTTGACTCAAAGTCCATTTTAAGCAAGCCTCGTACTGCCTCTTCAACTTTTCCTTTGTCAAAGTCTTCCATTATTCCTTTAAGTGCTTTATCATCTCGCCCACAAACATCCTTCATGTATTTGAACCAGAAACTAAAAGCCATTGAAACTTTTCTTCTCCTGCACGACCAAGTCATAAGTGTTCTATAAACTGCCGGACTAGGTATAAACCCATTTTTCATAATTTGA